AATACTTTTGAAACATTTGCACACTTGCAACGTTTCTTGCAAAATTTCGGAAATGTTTCCTTTCTCGAAATAACTGAGAAAATCCCAGCTCATGGGTTGATGCATAATTTTCGTCTTATGTTAGTGATAACAGAATTCGGTCGGTAATTAGATTTGTAAAATTTTCATAGAAAATAAAATATCTTGAAATATATAAAATAATTTGTCCTACAAGACATTTTCAGGGACATTTAATGCTATTTATAGAGTGAGGACATGCTTGTCACCACTGACATTTCCGAATTGTCATTCTCAGATTTAAAACGTCGGTTCTGAAAATTGAATAGAGGTCCCCGCGAAAATGTTTTTGAACATATGTCCTGTTCAGAAACAAATTGCAAAATTTTTAAGAATGATGGTTATCATTTATCTGAGTTCTCCAGAGACAAAACATTTCAAGTGTTTCATTTCCTGGAAATACATTCCATGACATGATATTGATATAGAAACAAAATGAGCATTATGTGCCTTTGGTGTTACGCCACTGTTAGGTTTTCAAATATTTTGCCTGCACTCTTTCAATGAAGGGAAACAGAAAAATAACATTCCATCTCTTATAAAACATATTTGTGTCTCATGTTTTTGTACAGCTGTTCAACAACACGACAAGCGTGTCCTCACTCTTTTAGGAGCATAAAATGATGAGTGATTCAAAATATATATGAAGATCATGTACAATCACAAAAGCACATTGTACTTATACTTGGAACAACACTTTTAAGGCACTTATTAACCTCCACAATAGTAGTAGAGAAGCAATTGAAATATCTTCTTCGATTAGAATATATAGTTATTGGCAAAAAATCAAGAAATTTAGGTCATAAGAGGATAATGTACAAATTGAAAAATAAATTATTTTCATTTTCTTCAGCCAATAACAAAACATTTAAACTGTTAATTCATCAAGACTGCAATAAAGTTGCTTCATTTCACACCATTAAAAGATGAAGTGACTGAATTACAATAATTGCAAGTTAATGGCTTTTGGTTGAAAAGTATTTCTTTTATTAATTCGCGTCTATCGCGTATATATATTATGTAAATCAATAGAAAAATGAAAATTCAATACGGTGTCCATAAGAAGTTGAAACGTTAAAATTTGAATCGAAACAGGCCTATTTGCCCTAATAAATAATCTTATTTGTTTTCGTACACAAATTTTTTTCAGTTTTTCAAACATATATCCAACGCCTGATTAGCTAAAACTGCATTAAGTGCACTTTGCACAACTCTATCCTCATTCAACAACTTTTCATCTCTTATAATGCAATATATTGAACAACAATTACAGTGTATACAGGTTGCCGTAAAACAATTGAAAACAAAATAACGGTGGCGATTTTTTCAATGTAAGCGAACACATTTTTGTTTCATTTTCTGATTTCAACAATTGAGGAAAATATGTTTGTTTTTAGTTGATAACAAAAATTTATATGCTTTATGTTTTTTGAGTGATGAATTGATTTTTCTTTCATTTTTAGAAATCAGATGAAAATCATCCGTTTCCGAAAGCAACCTGTATTATTGCTGAATTGGCATTGAATTAGGTACTTTTCATTATTATTCAAAAACAGTTTTTCCCTTTCATTGGAACTTGAAGCGTCGTCAAGTAATGTGAAAATGAAAAATATCTTTCCATAATTAGATTTGTCATATATCTTAAAATTACAATAGAACTATTCAACAGATTGAAGCTTAGAGCAGTAAAATAAATATGATTCACAATGGCATTAATAAAACAGAAATATATCTATTATTGTTTCTCATTGTCCCAACACCTATTTTAAATATTCATTAAAAATCATTCAACTAAGTTATACATTTGTGCGCCTGCGGCAATATAATATATATTTCTAAAATATATAATATTAAATTATTTATTATTGTCTACTGTGTGCAGTCAATATTTTAAAAATCTATATAAACATTTCTACATAAACTAAACCGAAAGTAAATAATATTATTTATAAGTTGTTTTTTAAAAAACAAATTCAATATAACAGTGTTCACCACATAAACGAACCTATAAGAATATTTGCAAAACCCCTAATTCTATCCAAACCAAAAAATTTACCGTCCGGTAAAATTAACGAAGGCATAGAAAGGACATGAGAATTTCCTTAATTTCAACTTGGGATTAATAAAATTTTCAAGCTACAAATCAAAATTAAAATGGATCAGCCAAACATTGTTAAAATTCAAAGTCAATCCAATTTGTAGCTGTTCTAAAATTCATGTCAACTTCAAGTAATCAATTCAAATGAGTTTGATTTAAAGTAACAACTCAAAACAGCTTGATTGTTGATTTTGAATATTGAATCAAGATTAGCAAAATTTCCGTAGCTACTCAATATAACCATAATCTTGATATTAGTATAGAATTGACTTGTGATATGAATATTCAAAGTTTGAAATCACAATTAGCTCAGCTTTGTGTTAGAACTCAAAATGCAGTTCTTCAAGTTTTGAATCATGAATGAGCTAGATTTCTGGCTCATAACTCTATATTTTCAATAATTTTGACCTATTGAAATTATCGACATTAAGCTGGATTGTTTCAAGACTGAGTAAAAGTTGCTAGTTACTCACCACCAGTTCCTCTTGACTATTTCACTCATCACAATTAGATGTCTTTCAATTCTGATTGGTCTATCAGCGTTGATGTTTTCAACGATGTACTATAGATAGCGAAGCGAAGTCTGTCAGAATGATTCACTCAATTATAATAAATGCTTTTTATGCTACATGAACGTGAATAATCTAGCAAAATACCACTCTGTTCTGAATATCTCCTCATAATTCTGTCTTCCATTGTTGACACAATTTTGTGGACAATGAAGCGACAGAATTATCTGGAATATTCAGAACATCGTGATATTACTCACGAAAATTTTGACAGTCCCTTGAAATTGAGAAACATCAAATGTCCGTTCTACGGTTTCGTGAAATATATCATGAACAAAAAAACTAGTACGATGTGTTATCAATGATTGTTTTGGATTAGTCACTGCTATGCAGTCAATAGAGATATTACTAATAACTACAGACCTTTTAGGTTATTTTCAACCACAACGGGTTAATCACATGATTCAAAAAACCTACGTTGTACTCTCATCTGTCAAAAACAAATTCCGATCCGCTCAAACTCTTCGAATGTAGCACCAAGTACGAAATCAGCTGACCATATCATGTATGTCCATATCAGGATGCAAACAATACCAAGTCCCTAAGGTTATTTTTTCAATTGATAATTATACAGGGTTATCAAACTCGCGTTGACACTTGCAGCTTGGTTATTATTGGGCTACAATGTCAGTTAATAGGCACACTAGAAATTTTTTTCGCTGATTATGATGATATAAAAGGGTTAATTTTTTTCAAATGGAACACCCAGTATACGATATCTTTAATCTATAGGAATGAATCCATTCTGAATTCAAAACTGACTAAGCTATCGATGATTTTCAAAATTTGTCAAAGTGATTGTGTGTTACTCGTCAAGAAATTGCCCAACCTACCATACAGTAAAAGAAAATCGTAGGTAGCTTAGCCATTTTCGAATTTAGGACAAAAATTTATGAGACAGTTCTTGTTTTTTCTATCGATTAAGAATGTAATTATTGTATAATGGGTGTCCTATTTCAAGAAATTGAACTTTTTGACATAACTTATGAACGCGATGTTCATTTTTTTTATCGATTTCATCAATGTAATCATCGGAAAAAATAGTACTAGTTTGTCTATTTAACCGACTTTGGAGCTATGTTAGCAATGGTGCCGACTTTAATATGAAAACCCTGTATTCAATTGGATTCAACAATAAACTTTCAATATTATTAGAGCTATTATTATTATAAAAGTTCACCAATATTATGCTACTGCGGAAATTGAAATCAGAATAGGTAAAGTGGTGGGATTTTTTTCTGAAATGTTACTCACAGAATATAGTGGGATTCACATCTTGCAGAACAATAATTATTATGAACACATCCAGAACATTGAACTACCCATAATTTTTATTCTGCATGAAATTCAAGATTTCAATAACAATAAGCACATGTAAATATACTGTCTGCTTAGAAATCGATTCTGACACATGTCACGTGATCAATACGGCAACTTCATCATCATAAAGGCAGTTTCCAGCAATTCTATAAAATTGAATATAGCTGTTTCCCCATGTATTTACAAATAACTTTTCATTTTTGTGAATAGCTTCACTGTAGTTGAATGCCGTATCATCAAAATAGTAGTAAAATAGTGATAAAATTGTTTTTCAACTGAACAGCATTTCCTCAGGGGAAAACCATTTTTTGGTAATTCTTCTCGAAAATGTTTCTTGTGACTTGGCAAATGTTCAAATGTCAAATGAGCAAGAACAAAGACGAATTGATTTTAATTGACGTCTCCCCCCATATTTTTTCCACTTAAATAGTTGAAACTAGTTTATAAGTGATATGAATCATCAGAATAAATTGAGATAATCTTATTTACAGTGGGTTGAAGTGAATTGTTGCATATTTGACATGCAGTATATGTCTGTGATAATTGAATGGTCATATTTCTAGTTAATTTTCAAAAATAAAATGTGTCATGTAAATCGCGAGTATTATGTATCCAATGATGAAAATAGAAGGCCAAGACAAGCGGAAAAAGAGGGTGAAATTTCGAACTTTTTCGTGAAATATCTTGGCAAATAGTGGTTTGTTCACATTTTCATTATAAAATTCGTGTTTCTCAGACGCGAAATGAAAAAAAAATCTAGAAATGAAACCAATTGCATGATAAGTACAAAATTACCCTTTTTTGTGGCGGACATGATACCCATTAATTATATCACAACCTCTTTTCTCCTACCTTCTCTGCTTTTTTTTAGTAATTTCCAATTTCGGCAGTATTTTGTTAAAAGTAAATCATAATGTTCTCCCTTGGCAACAATAGGAAGTTGGTATTATGGCATCCCAATACGGCCACGACTTCCACGGCCAACCCGACCCATCGGAACAGACGACCAGCGTCGTTCTCGACTCACTTACAAAGTGGGAAAAAACATGGCGGGAAAAACGACGTCCTTGGGCATGAAGCAGTCGTGCACCGTCTTCATGTGATTCTTCATCTTGTCCGGCCTGGAGAACTCCTTCTGACAAACCGGACACGGGAAGACTTTTCTTTGGTGGCCCTCGTGATAGAGGAAGGCGTGTCTCTGGAAACTGTACTTGTTCTTGAAGGTTTTTTGCACGTCGACTTTGGCGCACTCGGTGCACTGGTAAATGCCGTCGGTTATAGACGCGTAGCGGAACAAATTCAGCCCTCTGACGGACATTTCCGTCAAGTGCTCAGCGGGGTCTAGGCTGTGCGATATCGCCCGACGTCGCACCCTCTTTTTGGGGGGCTGTTTGCCCGCTGGGGCCCCCATGGCGGTGGGGTTTGTCATGTTGGGGAGCATGTTGGGCAGCAGCATCGAGCTGGTGGACGGCGTGGTTGTCATGTTGTTGTTGTTGAGGTTGTCGGGCGTGCTGATTCGGGAGGACTCGGGCGTGTTCGGCGACGAGTGGTCGGTGCTTTCGAATTGCTCGGATTTGATGGTGCGGTCGAACAGTTCCGATTTGACTGTCAGGAGTTTTTGGGTTATCGGAGAATCTAAAAAGAGAATATGAACGATATTGAATCAGATTTCGATTGGTTCTGGGATAGCTCGAGCAAATACTGAACTGGTGTTGATGTGTTGCCAAATACGTGATGAAATTCAGAATTAAAGAAAATTGTTATACACACCATGGATGATTAATAGGGTCATAGCTACTGGTCCATGACAATTTCACTATGCAGAATTTTAATAATCATCTGAACTAAGCGTTACTGACGAAATGGTGTGCAAAATTTGATCGAACTAACATCGACCTTCCTTGCAACAAAAATATTTGAAATTGACAAGATTTACATACCTTGTTTCAATAATGTCTGCGCTGTTAACTCTACAAAGACGTTGAGTATTAAACACTGATAGCGGATTGACTATTCTTCAATACAGTCTCAGTAAGAAAAAACGTATTACTTGCATCTGATTATTCACACAATTATTAGAGCCCGACCACGTTAACTTTGGGACACCACGTGACTCAAGCATATGCATATTCAAAGTTAACGTGGTCGGACACCACAACCGACTAACTTGAATGGTTATGCTCATTATCATAATGAAATCTATCACTTGTGTTTCATAATTGATACTCACTGAGACACGAATTCATTTTTGCTACTTCCAGAGAAATTCAAGTGTATAATCACTCTGGGTCAGATGGCAGAAAATCTTTTTGGTTAAAGTGCTACCACGTCTAATGAATTTGAATGAAATGTTCCAGAATCTTTGTGTTGAAATAACGAAATTTTGAATTTCCAAAACGTATCTACTGTATACAGGGTGGAGACTTGAACTGGAATCGCTAGCAGAAAGGTGAATGATTTTTCTAAAAATTTGCCATACACGTCAACGTTTTGATGTCTTTACCTACTTTTTGCGAGCTATAAGAATATAACCCTGCAGGGATAGCTGAAATCAGCCCCAACATGTATTTTTCAAATGCAACCTCATGGTTTTTGACCCCTCATCGGAAAGTTGGTTGAAAGAGGAATCCAGCGAACTGATGAAATTTTAGTTTATAATACGTTCGAATGTTGCAGGAAATCGAAACATAATTTCCAAGTTTGCTATACAGTGCTTTATTGAACAACAATGTTCAAATGCCTATCGACCGAAGTACTTCAGTCAAACTTTCAACATATTTTCATCAAAACTGTGATTTCTAGCGATACATTTAAACAAGGAATTTTCACCAGTTAGCAACAACACTTCATTCCGCACCGTGAATACGGCATAAAAACAAAATTTCTTATTGCGGCTGTGTAAAAACACTGGCATAAAATAGCAGATATCAGATATGGCAAACAATTGCTATGAATTTTTCAACATACACTCTGAGCAATAGTTACGAGGAAAATAAAGTGAATTTTATAATTATATTTTGATTTTATGAAAAATTGGATTCCTCTTTCCATCAAGAGGGGTCACAGGACATTTTTGAAAAAAACATGTTGATGGTGGTTTCAGCTACCCCTGGAGATGTATTATCCATATAGTGACATTATTTCAGTTTAAATCTTCACAAAATTTCAGATACATCCAGAATGACTTTCAATTGAATGAATACTTTGCCATCTAAATAAAAAATCTCCACATAACTGATGGTATCCTTAAGATAAATTGTTAATCATTTTATTATGTTAATGTTGCTGATTACATTCTGAATATTCTCCAATGTCATCATATAAATGCTATGTAAAAATAGGGTAATTGAAAATTTGCAAAAATGAATTTCATTTCAACATATTGATTCATATCACTTGACTGATTTGAATGATGATTGTTGAGGGCGGCACTAGAAAAATAATAGAAAATACAAATTCTGGGTATTCAGAATATCTTCAACGGTTGCATTTCTTTGAAAAATGACAGCTATATGCAGTACTGTTCATGTTATTTTCATGAGGATACATTCGCAGTAATTTCCTCATCCAGACGTGTTATTAATTCATATTTATTGATGATCAACCATTTTTCCATTGTTTTCTGCATGAGTTGCAATTTTCAGTTAAAAAAATTATTATGTTAACAAAGGGTTAATTTATTAGTGACTTTCATATGAACCTTTTAGCTATTAAACAGGTTTCCAAAAATGTCACTCTCAAGGATGGTTTGACCTCTGGAAAAACATGAATCTTTTCAATACAAGAATGAAATCGTGTTTTCGTAAAATTGAAATATTCAGTAAAGCAACTTACAATAAACATAAATACCCATGAATTACTGATCGCTTCAAATATGTCTGCCAATACTGTGAACGAATCCTAAAATTATCAGATTTCCTCTCTATCTGTAAAATTATATTCTGCAAAGAAGATTGAATCGAAATATTTTATCGATATTATTATGAAATCTGTATCACCTTTCAAATTTGGAAACACATGAACCTGATCTCATACCCAACCAGCAATATTAGTTCATCAATATTTACTGCAAAAAATATTGATATTCTACTAGTTGATAGTTGAAAATGAGCCAACCAGTTTTGAAAAATAAATAATACATACAATACAGCAAACTAAGGGGAAAATATCAAAAAAAGAATAAAAACAAAAAGTAATAATAATGGCATGTTTTATTTCTGTTGAACATTCAACTAAAAAATAAATTTAAATCTACAAAAAATATACCCATCTACGATACAAAAGGTAACTAAGGTGTAAATAAATATCTAGCATCTATGATTTTTTAAGTAATAGAGAACAAACTGCTAGCTGAAAACATCAATTCAAAATTAATTATTGCAACATTTACCTTAATATTATAACTTCTTCAGTACTTTTTCCTCGTAGAGTAACACCAACGGTGTTAATGCTAGAACACTAATTCACAGGCAAGAACATAAAAACTAGAAATATAGGAATTTATTATTGCCAGTTCTTTCAAACCTAATATAAAAGAGACTAAAGAGAAAACTAACAACTAACATTGGTATAGGTAAATTATTTTTTTCATAACAATAAGTACAACAACTTTTATTGCCAAAATGAAATCGTCCCACAAGACGATGATGAAAATTCAACAATATTTTTTAAGTCTCATCAAAAAATCATTACAAAACTATCAAGCTCTCAACTGTGTATAAATTTTTGTCTTAATAAAAAGTATGTAAACGATCATCATTATACAAACTATTCAAAATATATTTATAGTATTTCACAAGTCAATATAAAATATAAACTACAACTAATCACAAAAACAGTGTACAAATCGTACATAAAAATATTTGGATTCTCTAGGCTGATTAATGATATGAAGTCTGTAACCACAGGATGTGAAAATATGCAGTGTAGTTTGAAAAAAGCTCAACTACTGACAGAAATCACTCTTATTTCCGGTCTACAATTGTCATCTCCAACTGAATATGGTTAAAACTGAGATATGCACTGAAAACTTTCACACCCTGTTCAAAAGTTTATTGTTCTCAAAGTAAATGGCCATAATCTTAGCTTGGGTTTTATGATGATGAATAACAAATGATCATTTGAATTGGAAATAAGTATGAGAGATTTAAATTTTTTTCAAATTGCATTATTGGGGGAAATAATAAATTAACAAATTTGGAAAAGTAGGATTTGGTATCATATTCCATCTGAAAATATACGGGACCTGGTAATGAATATTTTAGAAAATATCGAGTGGCCACAAAGGCGTTTGTGTGAATCAAAATGTGAAATTTAAGTTTAAATCGAAAACTAATTTCAGGACAGCAGCATATTTTCTGATTTCAAATATTCTGACCTATCACCACTACAACTACAAAAAAAATGTGGCAGACAAAGCCACTTTTATTAAAAAATGGATGGTGAATTAGCACATTTTTCAATAATAAAGTGATGAAGATTATACTATATTTTTACATGTTCTCAAGATCACATGTTTAGCTACACAGTAGCTTCTACAAGAGAACCATTAGTACAATAAACAGTCCTTTTTTTCTTAATTTTGTGGAAATCGTACCGTTTCTGAAATGTTCATGATTTGAATTTCCATCAAGTAATGGAGGAGCCAATCTGGAATTCCTTTTTAGCCAAAACAAATAAGGAATACACATGCTCTCCCATTCAGAAATCAAAAGGTGTCTTTACAAAAATGGTATTCTGAAAAACTTGTCGTTTTACCAATTCCCATTTTCAAACTTTTCAACACAAAAATTATAGGGTCGATTCTCAAAGACGCTGGGGATATTAATTTGAGCTCCTGAAATTTCTCAAAGTTTCAACTACCATCACAAACAATTGATGTTCTCCTATGATATTCTCAGAGTCTTCAAAATTGGTAATTCATCATCATAATAATCAACCTATCAACATAACCCACTATCTTAACCTGCAATGTCATATCCCAACAATCCAAAAATACTATCCACAAAATCCACATTATACACAAGGGGATCCATTATGCCATTGATGACATTGACTTGATGTTTGGAATCCTGAGTGATTATGAGTAAGATATATGACAGGTCCAAAATGCGCATGCTCCGTGAGATCTATTTCTTTGTCTTGTGGCTTCATCCGTCTAGATAGTAGGTTATGTACATGAGCCAATGCATGAACCCCATGATAAATGACTATGGCAATCTAGTCTGAAAAAAAAACCTCAAATATTCTCGAAAATTATTGACTGTTATTGCAAGGCACTGCGTTTTGTTTGTGTATAATCTTCAGGTGAGCAACCATATTATCCTTCCTGGTGAACTCTTTGCCGCAAACTGGACAAGAAAACATCTTAACGTCCATTTTGTGCGAGGTCATGTAATGACGGCAGAAGTTGCTGATGTGCGTATACATCCTGTCGCAAACTGTACACCTGTACATCTCGTTCTCTCTGACGCAAAAGTCACGGGCTGATTTTTCCTGATCCCGCACTTTCCTGGAAGGACTGGAGTACTTGAACGCTTTATTTTCAATAGCATCATCGTCCACGATTATCTCGTATTGAGCAAAGTCATCTAGGTCTAAGACAGCCTTATTTTTTCTCCTCTTTGGGCTATTTA